TTGTGTTGTGGGATTTGCAGTTGTGTTGTGGGATTTGTATTAGTGGTGAGCCTTCTGCGCCACCGTACAGCAGCTATACTCTATATAGCGTGCGGCAGCCCCGCGTACGCAACCGTACTACTACCGGCTACCGTAGTACGCGGGCTTACTAGAGATAGTGATCGTAGTGATTTATATTATATTATACGTAATATAACGTATATAACGTACAATTATATTATAGAGATCAGTGATTTATATGCTCTGCTATGAATATGATTTACGTGCTGTCTACAGTATGACCATAGGTATGACCTAGGGATGACCTATTGTATGACGCATGCTCCAGTGCAGGTCGCACGGAAGACGTGCAGTCAGACTTGAACTTTCACGCAATATCCGTTCTGGACAGAACAGTCTCGAATGTTCTAGAACATTCCACGGCAATCAATAGCGTAATATCCGAATTCCGCAAATAGATCTTGAGAACGTTCTAGCACATGCCGCAGCACTACTTTTTGTTGATAGTCCGCGAAGAGCAAGACTACTTTTATTTAACTATCAAAGTAATTCGTATTTATACTGTAATATATATAATCAGTATATGATATTATAATGCAGTTTTAAGAGAAATTTTCTATGTATAAATCAACTTTATTATTGTCTAGCTGAGCAGTGTCCAACAACGTATAGAATCAAGACCGGAACTGGATATGGCGCATAAATACACGAAACGCACGTGCGTTTCTAGACGCTGCGAAGTATATATATCGAAAACGCTTTTCGCCCTCACTTTGTCAGTGGTTCTGGAGGAGGTGGTGTAGATTTGACGCAGTTCAGAGAAAACTTAGCGAATCAAGAACGTTTATTCATTGCAACGTACCATAAGTAAGTACAAATACTTTCTAAGCCAATAATAATTGTTTATCGAGTTAAATATTCGTTTTATATGATATAGATTTTGATAAATTGCAGAAATCGTGATCAGCTTTTGCCGCGCGATTTGCGATGCAGATGAGATGGTCATTTACCACGTGGTCGAGAGTAGGCCTGTACCGTCGAATTGCATTTCATTGATTCATGCAGGATGTTGGTGAATTTAGTGTTAGAAATACGAACTATTTATCACTGATGCCATCCTACAAATTACAATTTGAAAGTTTACCATTTTATTAGCGAAAAGCCGAAGAAAAGTGCATTTACTGAAGGAAACTACCCTCGTGAGTCGTATGAACTTAGGGCCCAGTGAAGTTTTTTGCAACTCGCAAAGCTAATGTCAATTCAAGTTCAATGTGATCCTCTCGCGCCTCATGTTCTATTTGAGCCGGGTTGATTTTGTTCATATGGTCTATGTCCCCCAGGGTACTGCCGGACCGTGCCCTGGGGTGAGTGTCCGAGTAATAGCGCAGTAACGACCTCTGGTCCTAATTGATATGGTTGCCGGTGCTTAGGGAGTACAGAGTAGAGCGATCCTAGGACTCGTTAGTGGAGAGTAAAGCGAGGTAACGGATACGCAGGGCTATAAGGTAAGTGACAGCAGGAGGTAATCGGTCGCTATATTAGTAGGTAGACAGGGAGAGAGAAGAGATCACGCCGTGTAGACACACATAGACCAGAGCCGAGACAACCGCATTTATAAAAACAAAAGCCAAGTAGTTCGCAAGACTTGAGAATAAACAGCATAATTACCGCATAGTGTAAAGTTCTGGAAGGATTCAAAAGATAGTGAGCATTCCATAGTTGATTAGCATAAGTGTTACAAACGCGTCATCCTCATTACGTTTTTAGGAATAATTGCTTCGATAACGATCATTTAGGAACATATTGCTTAGATGACTACTTATTGAAAGCTATAGCACGTTGCGGCAAGCTACCCGGCTATAGTACTAGAGACAGTAGGTTTGCTTTAGATACAATAAGTAACCAAAACAAAGGATAGTTACAAAGTCCCCTAATCCGTTTCTCTGCGAAGAGGCAATGCAGTGAATGCACTCGACACGCCCGGTATTGCGGTGCGTATTCAGAGATACTACAGACACAATATCAAACTGGTTTTCTCTCAACAACGACATCCTTATTCTCAGCTATTCGGAATATTACTATGGATAGCAACTACTCGTACTAAACTAATATGCCTGTTAGCAAAATTCGAAGTGACAGAGCGCGAAATATACTGATTCAGCATTTCATGTGACGCGTGTAAGTACGCTTTCCCAGCCCATAGCGATAAGGGCAACTCGCGCCACTCGCGATTGGTCGGTGACCGCCATTCTCAACGAAAGTAAACTACACTCAACAGAATTGGCCGCTCGACAGTAATATTTCCGCGTCGACACTATCCTGATTTTATTAACAGAGTTATACTTATGGTTTAACTACAGATAAGTTCCGGCAAATACATAGAGTTATCCGGAATGAGCGAAAAACGTTCGTTGAAAGAAAAACACCAGTTTGCTAAGTTTAGTATCTGAAAACGCCACGCAGCAAACCGGCGCGAGTGAAATTCGCGTCGAGCTTTCTACGCGCCAGAAGAATCGGATAGGGAGACTTTAGTAACACTACCCGGACTATTGAGGTTGGGTTAACAATATGGATATCTAGGTTTGCTTGTGACCATTTCGCCACCTAGGGTCTAGTGAGAAGCAAAGCATTGTGGCTAAAGCCTGGCGCACATTACCGAACATTTTCCCGAACAAATGTTTTTGTCTGGCAATGTGCGGGTGAACAATTGCTGAGCGCACATTGCCGAACATTTTGCAGCGAACAACTTCGTGGCGACGTCTAGTAGCTGTGTTGTAAGGAGTCACGTGATCGGCGTCACAGGCACTTGAAGCGTTTCAATAAAATTTAATGCTAACTAAATACAAAATCTATTTACTACCAAATTCTTAATGTTTCTAGACTCGCCTATTATTGCCGACAGTTTCCTGTAAATTCCGTCCAAATCCTACGTGTAAACATATACGCTGCAGCTGCGAGAGCAAGCGTATATGGTTGCACGTAGGATTTGGACGGAATTTACAGGAAACTCGGCAATAATAGGTGAAAGAGAGTATAGAGAGTTGAGAATTTGGTAGTAAATAGATTTCGTATTTAGTTAGCATTATATTTTATTGAAACGTTTCAAGTGCCTGTGAATGGCGATGCCCAGTTTGCACACGAGAATTTTAACCACTACTAATTTTACGGAAACGGCTGCCCCCACATTTCGACCATAATCTCTTCCTTTTCAAAAGTCCACACTTCTGGCAGCGATATAGCAGATGCCATATTGTACACAAAAATCATGTGACCACATATCGTGTTGCTATTGGTTACGTACTACTTTACAAATGTTCCTAGAATTGTTCGACATTTAGCGCACATTGACGAACAATGTTCGAGATATTAAACATTTCCGATCTTCAGAAACATTGGTCGGAACAAATGTTTAGGCGACTTTTTTCACCGCACATTGCCGAACATTTTATGGAACATTGCTACGATAATGTTTTTGAGCAAAATGTTCGGCAATGTGCGCCGGGCTTAAGCCACCATGGCACCGAAGTAGGCAATGATGTTTTATCTTATATTGTATTCCCTGTCTACTACTTTGGTTTATAAATTATATATTTATTTATATCATTTATATTTCAGGTCATGCCTGAGGAGACACAAACCCAGTCCGTGGAAGGAGATGATGCGGAAACTTTTGCCTTCCAGGCAGAAATTGCCCAGTTGATGAGTCTTATCATCAACACATTCTACTCCAACAAAGAGATCTTCTTGCGAGAGCTGGTTTCCAATGCTTCTGATGTAAGTCCGTAGCACATAACAAGGCTTTTTTATGTGCAAGAGCTTCATGCGGGAAAGTTTGCTGTAGTGGTGTTTATTGGGCAGTAGTTGTCGCTGAACTGCAACAGGTTACCAGGTGAACATGTGCCCTACAAGAATTAGATTCTGACTGAAATTGGCTTTAACGAGCCTATACGAGGACATTAATCGTAATGTGCTCATTCTTAATTCAGGTTGATTATTTCTCATTGTTGTATTGTTCTTTGTATTATCTGCTATGTTGGTGGTAATCGTAACGATTTGTTTCAGGCATTGGATAAGATCCGGTATGAAAGTCTGACAGATCCTTCTAAGCTTGACAGCGGGAAGGCACTGGAAATCAAGATCATTCCGAACAAAAATGACAACACGCTGACTATTATTGATACTGGCATAGGCATGACAAAAGCTGATATGGTCAACAATTTGGGAACCATCGCCAAGTCTGGTACGAAGGCTTTCATGGAGGCACTGCAGGTATATTTATTGGTGACGGTTACATGCATGTCAGAATGAAAATGAAAATTGTTCGCTTTCACATAGATTGCCATAAATGCACAGTAAGACTGGAGTGTGGCTTGTAATTTTGTAGTGTGCACTATATGAATAGTTCCTCATTTTACTGTTTTAGGCTGGCGCAGATATTTCGATGATCGGACAGTTTGGCGTGGGTTTCTACTCTACGTACCTGGTGGCAGATAAGGTGCTGGTGATCTCCAAGCACAATGATGATGAGCAGTACTCGTGGGAGTCTGCCGCCGGTGGATCGTTCATTGTTCGACAAGACCACGGCGAGCCAATAGGTGTGCATTACTGCGTGTCTCTTCCGTTTTACTTCAAAAAATGTTGGTATTTGGAACAGTTCCTTCGGAGTAAGGCACCGTGTACATCCAAAGAGTGTTAAATTGACTACATCACAAATTTTCTATGGTGTATTTTGTAAAAATGTTTGCTATTTTTTACATTAAAAGTAAGTACCAACGGGACTAAATGTATCGTCAAATTCTTACCTGATAAGATTGTTTCTCAACTAGTTAAAAAGTCAGAAAACCTGGACGATTTGATATTATGATCCTGACATTAATTGCTTATTATGGGCTATGTATGAGTCACGAGTGTATGTTTACATCAAACAATGTAGTAAAATGGGAAGTAATTTAACCATAAAAAGTGAATAGAATTACATTTTGTGAAAAAGTGGAAATATATTTTTTATTTTTATTATTTACGGTGACGTAATCACTTTAAATTATAAAAATGCATAGCCTTGTATGGTGGCCCAGGAATTTTTCTCTGTCCAGTTTTGTGTAAATACCCCCCCCCCTCTCAATATTTTAGTACTTTGTGAACTGACAACCATTGCAACTTGAAATTCTAGGTCGTGGAACCAAGATTATTCTTCATCTGAAGGAGGATCAAAGTGACTACCATGAGGAGAAGCGCATCAAGGACGTGATCAAGAAACATTCACAGTTTATTGGCTATCCAATCAAACTGCTGGTCGAGAAGGAGAGAGACAAGGAAATCTCTGAGGATGAAGATGAAGAAGAAGAGGAGAAGAAGGAAGGCGAGGTAATAAGGAAACTAGTTGGTGTCTGAATCCAAACCATGCAAATTAAATATACGGCATATTGATAACTCGTTGTTAGCGTGTCCACAAGTTTGTGGTTGTGATAATAGGTATGTTACTATATTGTATTAATAATGGGGTGCTGAGTTTGTAATAAAAGCTGGTACGATTTTAAAGGAGGATAGTGACAAGCCAAAGATTGAGGATGTTGGTGAGGATGAAGAAGAAGACAAAGAGAAGGACAAAAAGAAAAAGAAAAAGACCATCAAAGAGAAGTATATTGAAGATGAGGAACTTAACAAAGTTAAGCCCATTTGGACACGAACCCCTGATGACATCAGCCAGGAAGAGTATGGTAAGTTGAATACATGTGTTCCTATTGTAAATGTGACAGGTCATTAGTGGCAGTATTCCAGGTGCTAATTGCCAAGTTTTTGACAGTCTTTTATTACCATCACTGTTGAAATAACGTTCTGCCCTGCTGTGAATATGAGAACTTTGTCTTCATTATTTTATATATTTGTTTTTTTTTAGGCGAGTTCTATAAGAGTCTTACCAATGATTGGGAGGATCACTTGGCTGTCAAGCACTTCTCCGTAGAAGGCCAACTAGAATTCCGGGCTCTGCTGTTCGTACCACGCCGTGCGCCATTCGATCTCTTCGAGAACAGGAAGACCAAGAACAACATCAAGCTGTATGTCCGTCGCGTGTTCATCATGGACAACTGCGAGGACCTGATCCCAGAGTATCTCAACTTTGTCAAAGGTGTCGTTGACAGCGAAGATCTGCCACTAAACATCTCACGAGAGATGCTGCAGCAGAGCAAGATTCTGAAGGTAGGAGATTGGCATTTTTAATAGGAATAGGTAGCTAGTATTGATTGTGAATGTGTGTATCAATTGTCTATCCACAGCTTAATCAGTTCTTGTAACAAGATTTGCTGGTGGATGTCTTGGCGGAGCAAATGTATCTTTTACTGCCAGATTCTGGAATTTTTATTTAACTTGAATATTTTTTGCCGTGTACAGGTTATTCGCAAGAACTTGGTGAAGAAATGCATAGAGCTGTTCGAAGACATTGCTGAAGATAAGGAACAATTCAAAAAGTTCACTGAAATGTACAGCAAAAATATCAAGGTGAGTGCTTAATATACATCTGCCATTAGTGCATTGTAAGCAATTTCTTAGTGTGTTCGTTTTCTGGCACCCAATAATCAATTAATCCATTGAAGAATTTCCAGCACTATTAAAGTAGTAAACCTAAAGGTCAACTTAATATTTGCAGCTTGGAATCCACGAGGACTCTCAGAACAGGAAGAAGCTGGCGGAGTTCCTCCAGTACTATACTTCTGCATCTGGAGATGAGACCTGCTCTCTGAAAGATTACATCTCCAGGATGAAGGAGAATCAGAAGGCAATCTACTTCATTACCGGTATGTAACTGGTGCAATTATAGCTGTGAATCCAATTTTATCCCGACGATTGGCATCCAGGCGAGCCGTCAAGGCTTGCTAGGCTCTGTCTCTGTGGCCCTTAGGAGCAGATTGCTGTTCTGTATAATCCTGTGTCACGTCGTCGTACATCAAGTCTGTCCCTTGTCATTCTCGCGACAAGTGTGGGCAGTGTAGCGCATATTCCATAACCTTCTCGTAGTCGCTATGCGACCGTGAATGAGGAGACAGACCATGCGATGCACACTTATGCAGTGAGTGATCTAGCGCGATCTCGATAATGGGTATGAA